TTACCAGAAATTGATTTGTGAAGGGAAAAAAATTACCAGCAATTTTTACTATGAAAATAGGTTTTAATAACAAAAATAGTTTGTAAAAATTATTACCAGTAATACATTATTACCAGCTATAGATTTCTGGAAAAAAATATTAGCAGCAATAAAAATTTTCGGCATTAAATAAGCCATTGAGGTTGGTATGCCTTAAAATAAAACAAATCAAATCAAACCAAACCTGAAGGATGAAACGCGTCACAAGTAAACTTTATCATACAATTTCCGCAATATTGTACTTGAGAGATAATATATATATATATATATCGTTATATCATATTTTATATAGTTCACATGAAGTCAAACATAAATGCAATATGAAAAATGTTCTTATTTTTTAGAACACAATTGTAAATTACTGTTCGTTTATTTGCGATGTAAAATGGAAAACTAAAAAATAAATTAAGGCAAATAAACGTCTGGGTTTTTATTTGCCAAGTTTAAAATGGTGAATTTAGTGAATTATATTTGTACAACGTCATCAGAATATTGGGCGGGGGCCCAAATAGAGATGGTTGAATTGGTTTTGTCTTACTCTTGGATTCTTCTTTGTGATGGAACGAAAACGTGTTACATAATATGCAGACATATCTATCTATATATCTATCTATCTATATATCTATCTATATATATATATATATATTATATATATATATATATATATATATATATATATATATACTCGCTCGAAAATTCGACCGGAGATCGAGTATAATATATATACACTGCGTGCCAAATTATTATCGAGATAAATTCTTTTCTAATATTTCAAAATCCCTCCAATCAATTCACACAATTTTCTCACAATATTGGCAACACAGACCTACGCAATCACTGAAATGTTTGTACTGATCTGCGCAATGTAAACAAACTGGCGCCGTATTTGTTATCAGCACGGTGATTTGAGAGTGCCAAATTATTAGAAAAGTGTAAAATGGGTCGTAAAAGCCGTTTAAGTGATGCTGAAAAGAAAACTATCACCTCAGAACTCTCAAAAGGTAAATCTACCCTAGAAATTTCTAAAATGATAGGGAGGTGTCATCAAACAGCGAAAAATTTCACCGCCGACCCTACACAAGTACGCAAAAGGGCAGATAAAGACAAGACGAGGGTTATTTCACGTTGTCTCATGTCACGGCTTAAACGAGAGGCCACGAATAACCCTGGACTTACCAGTCAAGAGCTTTTCAGTCGCATTGGGGATCCTACTGTGTCTAAAAGTACTCGGTGTCGGTATCTGAGGGAAATAGCAACAACAGTCAAACCTGTATCGAAGCCTCTGTTGACGAGAAATCACACTTCAAAATTGATTGAAATGGGCCTAGGACAATATGAAGATTGACTTCTCTAAAGTTTTGTTCACAGACGAAACTCGAGCAACACTTGATGGGCCAGATAGATGGTGCAAAGGCTGGGTAATGAAAGGACAGAATTTCCATCAGCGTTTGAGACGCCAACAAGGCGGTGGAGGCATAATGATCTGGGGTGGTATTATTGGAAAAACATTAGTGGGCCCATGGAGAGTACCAGATGGCGTCAAAATGACTGCTGATGCATACATAAGCGTTTCTGAAGGAGCATCTTGAACCGTGGATGAAAAGGCAAAGAGTTGCCTTCAGAAGGGCCATTGTTTTTATGCAAGATACTGCTCCCTCACATGCTGATCACAAGACCACTGGATATTTGAAACAGTTAGGCTTCGATGGACCTCGAAAAATGAAGTGGCCAGCAACCCAATTTGAACCCAATCGAAAACCTTTGGAGCATCATGAAGCGAAGACTGTACGCCAGCAGACAACAATTCAGGAGCAACGCTGAGTTGTGGGAAGCAATTCTTGACATATCTCGTGGCATTACAGCAGATGACATCCTACAATTAACAAATTCTATGAATCGTAGACTTCTTCAAGTAATTTCAAAACTGGGAAAGCACATTCCCTATTAATTTGTTTAAAACTGTGCCTTTGTTTGTATCTGTTATTATTTGTTTGATTATCTTATTTATTAGCTTCTTTTGATCATAAACATTCACGTGCAACATTAATAAACGATTTGTTTGCTCAATTCTGGGAATTTTACTAAAGCTTTCTAATAATTTGGCACTCAAATCACCGTGCTAATAACAAATATGGTGCCAGTTTGTTTACATTGCGCAGATCAGTACGAAAAATTTAGTCATTGCGTAGGTCAGTATTGCCAACGTCGTGTGAAAATTTTGTGTGAATTGATTGGACGGTTTTTGAAATATTAGAAAAAAGTTATCTCAATAATAATTTGGCACGCAGTGTATATATATATATATATATATATATATATATATATATATATATTCTCGACTGTCCTGTCGAATTCGACGTATGAGAGTCAAGCAGATCAGTTCCTAGGAAACCAACAGCCTGACCACAGCACATGAGATTCGATTATAGTGGTGAAGGTTTCGTGCAGGGCCATCCACACTTTTTGAAGGGTCGAATACAGGGATCTGGTGCACTACGTGCCACAAGGTCCCCAAACGACCCTCCGCAGGTTTTGAATTCAGAGTTGTCCTTCTCCTAGTCCATTTGCCATCCAAGGCTATAGAACCCAGCCTGGGGATATATATATATATATATATATATATATATATATATATATATATATATATATATATATATATATAAGGACGAAACGCGTTACAAGTTTTTTTTCATTTTGTCATACAATTTCCTCCATATTGTTCTTGATATATAAAATATATATCGTTATCTCACATTATATTATGAATTACGTTTCAATAGAAATGACATAAAAATATGTAAAAATAAATATTTATCAAAAAAATATTGTCAACTTCATTTTCAATAAAGGTAGGATTCCACATTCAAAGAAATCTGTATAATAAATTATATACTCCTGATGTAATAGAAAAATTGTTCAAAATCCTGTAACAGCATAATTGTCAATCCCACAAAAAGTTTAATATCTAAAAAACTACTAAAATAATTGAATTCCTTTTTCCAGGTTTTCAGATAAGACGTTTAGCCATCTTGAGACCCACCATTTGTGGTAAGAATCACTGAAAAATCCTTTGAGTTATTCAGCTTGAAAAAGAACAGGTTAAAATTGTTTTGTCTCAGGCCACTATGTCTTCCCAACTGAGCAATGGTGAGAGGAAAAAGATGATTCAGGCCTTCAGTAATTGTACCTACATTCATACTCTGGCTTCCACATCCAAAATGCATTCAAAAACTATCAAGACAACGGTGAATAAGTTTGAAAAAGTGGGAAAAGTAGCGAGAAAAACTGGATCAGGAGGTCAAAACAGGTAAACGGATCATCATTTGAACTTAGAGTTAAAGAGATCAATTAGAAAAGGTCCAACTCAATCCATAAGACGTTTGACACGTGAGAGAGGAGTTTCAGCCGTGATAGTCCAAAGATCAGTGAAAATGAAATCGTACGTGAAACGTGGGAGGCGCCTTGTTACTCCAAGACAGAAAGTTAAAAGTTTAGAGAGTGCGAAGATCATCTTGAATAAGTTTGAAAAGGATCCTGGAATAATATATATATATATATATATATATATATATATATATATATATATATATATATGTATACATATATATATATATGTGTGTGTGTGTATAAATAAGTTGGGTCAAATATGGATCAAATCCTGAGACAATTTTAAGATAATGAACAAACTTTCATCAATCTAACATATTTAACTTATATATATATATATATATATATATATATATATATATATATATATATATATATATATATATCTCTGTGTGTGCGTGTCTGTGTTTGTGTGTGTGTGTCTATATATATTTTAACAACATTTTCTAAAAAGGAAAATTTCTAAAACATTCATTATCGAACAAAATTTCGGCTCTCGAACAACATTACCGTGACGATCCGAACCGAACCGAGTTAAGCCGAACGGAATAATTTCTCAGCCGACCGCCATGTTGTATACATTCGTGTGTTGTGTTGTACTTTTTTTCTCAATTTTATTGTACTGTGACATTTTTTTTTTCTACATTGATTCCTATTCGTAAAATAGTGTCGGTTTATGAACATTTCAAAGTTACGAACGGCCTTCAGGAACGAATTAAGTTCGGAACCAGGTTCCTATATATATATATATATATATATATAAAGAAATATAGTCAAGGTGTGCTATATTTATGGGATAAAGTGCAATATCAGCCGACGATTGTGTGTAAATATAAAAGTGGGTGACGAGGCTTATGCGAATCTTTGGCCATGACGATGGAAAAAACTTTGCCCCAGATGCCACCTCTAGAAATTCACCTAAATGTGTACTTCTAAAACCGGCATAAATATATATATATATATATATGTGCAGGTTCGTTCGATAGATGGATAAATTATTTTTGATTGACATGTTTATTACTCAAAATGTTATTATATTTGATACATCCTATTTAAAATAGTCATTAGAGAACTCATTTTCTTTATTAAGATTTCTTGCTTGAATAGGCCGATAGACGCAGTGCCCAGTTTAATGGATAAAAATGGGGCTTCAAATACGATGTACCTACTATAATAAGACTATCTCTGAGAGATTTGTTCATACCTATCGCCAACTGTTCATAGGCATCAAAACTGGCATCATTCTATGCCAGATCTATTCATAACTTTGTCAGATCTAATCATATGTTTCGCAAACTATTTCTATCTGCATGTGTCAGATCTGTTCATATCTATCGCAGACTATATGAGATATGCTCTTATCTATCGCAAACTGTTCGTATCTATGTCAGGTCTCTCCAATCTATCACAGACTGTTCATGTCTATCGCAAACTCTTCATATCTATGTCAAGTCTGTTCATATCTATCGGAAACTGTTCCTACCTTCTTTTTATACCTATCACAAACTGTTCATATGTATCGAATGTGTTTATATCAATCTGTGTCTGATCTGTTCAAATCTATCGCAAATTGTTCATAGATAGATAGATAGATAGATACTGAACAAGTCGAGATAGATAGATAGATACTGAACAAGCCGAGATAGATAGATAGATAGATAGATAGATAGATAGATAGATAGAATGATACTAAACAAGCATAATGGATAGATAGATAGATAGATAGATATATAGATAGATGAATAGATGAATAGATACTAAACAAGCCTGTATAGATGGATAGATACTAAACAAGCCTAGATAGATAGATAGATACTAAAATGCCTAGATAGATAGATGAATAGATGATAGATAGATAGATGCCTGATCGATAGATGGATGAGATAGATAGAATAGACAAGCCTAGATAGATGGATAGATACTAAAACAAGCCCTAGATAGATGGATGGATAGATACTGGACAAGCCTAGATAGATAGATAGATAGATGCTGGATAGATAGATAGATGAGATAGATAGATAGATGGATAGATGATACATAGATAGATAGATAGATGGATGGATAGATGGATGAATATAAGATGGATAGATGGATAGATAGATGGATGGATGGATGGATGATAGATAGATGATAGACAGGTGGATGGATAGATAGATGGATAGATAGATAGATGATAGGTAGATAGATGGATATATGTTATAGATAGATAGATAGATAGATAGATACTGAACAAGATGATTAGATAGATAGGATAGATAGATAGATTCTATAGATAGATGAATAGAACATTCCTAGATGATAATGAATGAATAGATAGATAGATAGATAGATGAATAGATAGAGATGAATGGATAGATAGATAGATGATAGAACAAGGATAGATAGATAGATGGATAGATAGATAGATAGATAGATAGATAGATAATTGAACAGCCCCTCGATAGATAGATAGATAGATAGATAGATAGATAGATAGATAGATAGATAGATGGATACTGAACAGGCCGAGATAGATAGATATGATAGATAGATAGATAGATAGATAGATAGATAGATAGATACTGAACAGGCATAGATAGATAGATAGATAGATAGATGGATGGATAGATAGATAGATACTAGATAGGCCTAGATAGATGGATAGATAGATAGATAGATAGATAGATAGATAGATGAGATAGATAGATAGGGGATGAATAGATAGATAGATAGATTCTCCATAGATAGGATAGATAGATAGATAGTTGAACATTGTTAGATAGATAGATAGATAGATAGATAGATGGATGGATAGATAGATAGATAGATAGATAGATACTGAACATGCATAGATAGATAGATGGATAGATAGATGGATGGATGATAATAGATAGATAGATAGATAGATACTGAACAGGCATAGATAGATAGATAGATAGATAGATAGATGAATGAATACTGAACAGACCGAGATAGATAGATAGATAGATAGATAGATAGATAGATCGATCTTTTGCGTGGAGAACATATTACATGTACTGTATCTATTAAATTATTTATGTTGGCTATTTTGTGTCTGTGGTAGTTAAATAGGCATATTTTTTGTCTAAATTGATCGCTTTTTTTTTTTTTTTCATAGACGGGGGTTTAAAATTTTCATTATTCAAATCAATTAGTAAATCTAAAAAAAGAATTCTCTTCTGTTTAGTTCAGAGGAGAAATTTAGGACGAAGTTATTTTCGAATGTTTTCCGATCTTTTACTCGTGAGGTGTACAAATTGATTTGAATAATGAAAACTTCAAGACCTCTTCCTAAAAAAAAAAAAAAATACTACCAACCAAAACCAACACCTGCTCAACTGCAACAGTAAATGTCGACAGATATTCAAAATAGCCAACATAGTATAATATATAGATTATAGTATTTTTTTACAGACACTACGTTGGTGAACCCTCTCTCCTTCTTCATATATATATATATATATATATATATATATATATATATATATATATATATATAGATAGATAGATAGATATTAATAGTGGTAAATATACATAGATATGCAAAATATATAAATACCCATACATGTATATTTTTTGAATAAAAATTCCAAGACGATAGAATCCAGGTAGAACTCAATGTCCAGGACAGAGTAAGGATGTAATAAAAAGGCTTAAACACTAATATTCCATGGTCATAATTTATTCCATTGGAATCGTAAATACGATCCAATTCATCAGACATACAATTTCAAAAAGAAAACAGAAAAAACAACTCCGGAAATAAAAACAGAATTTAGAGCGAGTGTAAGTATGAGGAGGAGGGGGATTAAACCTTAACAGAGAGAATTTTAGGAGAGGTGAGTGGAAGGGGTTTAAGTAAGAGAAATATGAATGTTGTCGGATGTCTAATGCATATATATATATATATATATATATATATATATATAGTTTATGCAAAACTAGGTAATCCGTAATCACCATCCATATCTAAAGATAACATAAGTCAAGTGAAGCGTTTGTCTGGCCCACACCAAGTGGGGTTAGGAATAAAGAATTGAAATGGTACATCTAACTCACTCATGTCTTCTCTCCCCCCTCACTTCCTCACTTCGTCTTCTCTCTTTCATTTTTCATTTCAACCTTTGGAAGTAAAGTCTGATGATGCAGAGCCCTTTAAAAGGGCTCTGGTGAAATAATTTATTACATGGAACCTTAAAGTGGTCTGTTTTTTATTCATATATATATATATATATATATATATATATATATATATAATAACTGGATATTCGTATTCGAGGATACCTGTCTATTAGGGCGGCTAGCCAATCCCTATTGAAGACACCTGCTCTGTGGTTTATATTGTAACTATGCTATGTTTATATTGTAACTATATATATATATATATATATATATATATATATATATTGCGTGTATTTAGTCAGCATTTTTTCATTGATACATGTTTTTTCATTGATACATGTTTCATTAAATAATATACACAGGTGTTGTCTATTTATTTTATGTAAATTCTTTTCATAACGTCTGATAAGCTTAATAACATTATCATTATCATTAAACGAAGAAAGAAAATCACAATATTGATACATATTTTTTTTAATCCAATTTAAGCTTTCGGCTTACATAAGATGACAATTACTGTACAATATATTAAGAAATACACGGACAAGAAAGTGATAATAATCTGTTTTTGTTTACATGGATGATTTCCAAGCAACGATAAACACGTGCAAATAAGACGCTGGAAGCGAAAACCGCATCGCTGCTCGTGACGTCACATATGACCACGCGAGTCTGAATTGAGAATATTATGGATGGGAAGCCGTTGGTATAAACCAATATTCTACCCCTACCAATTATAGGCATTTAAGGATATTTGTAGAGATTTCATAGTTTATTTTGTTCAGGTTAGCTTTCAACTGTTTTATGTATATAGCTTCAAGAATTAAAAAATATATATATGTATCAATATTGTGATTTTCTTTCTTCGTTTAATGATAATGTTATTAAGCTTATCAGACGATATGAAAAGAATTTACATAAAATAAATGGACAACACTTGTCTATATGATTTAATCAAACCTGTATCAATGTATATATATATATAAATATATGTATGTATTGTATTTGTGTGTGTGTGTGCGCAGAGTGTCCGTAAAGTCACTTTACAATTAAAAAATATATCACAAAGCATTTGATGAGATATCTTCATTGTTCTATGTACTCAGTAGCTATCAAAGTTTTTAATCACATAGCACTTGTATATTTTAAGTATCCTGCTGAAGAAAAAGGTACTGCTAAATGAGCCCTTAAAAATGACTGCGCCTCAAGAACTGTGTCATGATTTATTAAAACAAAATCGGATACGCAGACTCAGTGAAACTACAGAACTTCTTTCTATGGGAATATTTTAAAGATATCGTCTATCGAACAAAGATACGGAACATCATTGATCTAAAGCAAAAGATGGCCATTGCCACCACTGATGAGGCCAGGCCTCAACAAACATGGCAAGTAATCGAGTACTGCATTGATGTGCTTCGTGCAACTAATGGTCGCCATAATAGAGTTATATTAAATTACTTAAAAAATACTTCAATATCTACTCCTCGTTTTGTAACAATGTTCACATATTTGTCTGTTCATTTGCTTTTTGTCGAGCTTAAGTAAGTGAATGACAAGACGTGGTCCGGGGGGAGATGACAGAGAAACGGAACTTGTTTAGAGCTGTAAGGGATAAAGTGAAGTGGAGAGCCATGATCGTCTACATCCTAAAAGGACACGGCATATAAGAAGAAAGAAAGAATATAACACATGCGGAAATGGACACCCCTCCCCAACCCGCGCAAAAAATTGCCACTTCCTTTTTTTATACCTCGTCTCGTTGCGAAAGGATGGAACTGGATGTCTGAAAGTTCCGATTATTGACATATTCCTCGTCATGCTACCATTTGTTCAAAAGGCATACTAATATAGGATATCATTAGAATTTCTTCCATCGACTTATACGTATCCAAGTAGCAAACCACCGGCATTCCCCCCGTATTCAATCGGTGAGAAGTAAGTACCACTCGAGCAGCGTCTTCCCGCGAACCAATGCCCTGTGGAATCGACACCCTAGAAGACCTTTCGCCGATCACTACAACCTTAAGCTGTTCAAGGCGAGGGTTAATCGTTATCTTCTACGCCTATACGCTCAAATGGTCAAGTAACTTCTACCTTGAGTGGCCCCCAAGCTTTGTAAAGAGTTAGGTTTACTGTAAATATATGTATACAGTAGAATCCCTCATATCTGGAAACCCTTATATGCGGAATCTCTCATATCCGGAGTGCCTCGTATCCGAAATCCCGCATATCCGGACACGATTCTTATATGTATATTTGAACTATTTGGGTGATACATTATTTACATTATTCGGACTATTGTCCTCATCTTTGTCGCCATATTTATCACAACGTTTCGGCCGTTGTACGCTCTGGCCTTCTTCAGGTGGTTGGAATTTCGAACTGAACCCTTTATTTCGCTCACTGGGGTAGACTGTTCTAGTTCTGTTCCACCTGCCATGTTTAATGGATGTCAGTTATGAGTTATCTCCTGCTAATTTCCCTCTGAAAGTTCTCCACTGCCTTAACCGGGTATTGAACTCACATACTTTGGGTCCTGTCACTGGATCTAACCAACGCCTTTATCCAATGTGCCATGTGTCCTTGAGGAATATGGTGACAAAGATGAGGACAATAGTCCGAATAATGTAAATAATGTACATAATACCTCATCTAAGAAATATAGACAGACTATATGGGTGATATGTAAATGATCTGAAATTTCTGTTTCTCATAGATTTTTAATTTGGATAATTGCTTATGCTTATTTCACCCTATTTTTTTTTAAGCGTTTCACCCCAAGCAAGGCGGGAAGCCATTAGGACGCAAAGGGTTTACAGAAGATTTAACAAGATCAGATAGGAGTGATAGAGGAAAAGATGAGGAAGGATTAAATATAGATACATCAAGGCAACTGGAGATGTCGATTGACATTACACTTGAATAGCTGAAGATTATAGCTCACAGGAAACAGGAATAGGGAAAGGGTTCCACAGGCGAGAGTGCGAGACATGAAGCTATTGGAGTAGAAGAGACGGCTAAATTTAGGAGTTTCGACAGTGAAAGGGTTACTTTGCGGGATGCCAAATTTCGTGTTTTTATTGAACTCATGAAGTCTGGGAACCAAGATGCAGCTCCTCGGAGCAATTACCATGAAAGTATTTGTAAAAAAGACAGAGAGAGGCGACGGCGCATCTGTGAGAGAGCGACTGTAGACGAGATGCCAGAACACGGCCAATTATATTGCATTGCATGGCTTGCATTGGCGCAAAAGATGATGTGAATAAGAGGAAAGGAAGACAACGAGACACATCTGCAACAAGTTAGCGACGAGATGCATGATTGCGATGAAATCTGGACTGAAAGTGAAAAGGCTTTTGGAAAGATTGTTAGTTTTATGGAAAGAAAGCCAGCATTCAGCTATGACGATTGCAATAACGCACGCAGTTTTAAAAAAAAGGTGTCTTGCGTTAAAAAATTTCAAGAACCAAAGCAAAACGAAATTCGGAAAGAGTTGAGGATGACATTAGAAGAGAAAGAATCATCATGCAACAGCGATTAAAAAATCCTCGTTACATTATTTGTTTTGCATACCTAATTTAATGAATTTTCATTAATATTACATAATTTATATCTTTTCCCTTAAAATCAATTCCGTTATATTTCACCCACCATTAGCTTATTTTGTTTACTATAAAACCATGGAATATTTTAATGTATATTTTAATCTCAATATAACCCCTCATATCCGGACTTTGTAACCACTTCCTCATATCCAGAAGGCCTTCTTAGTACGGTGTCAGGGATATATATATATATATATATATATATATATATATATATATATATATATATATATATATATATATTTGTGTGTGTGTGAACAGACTGATATAAATAGAGATTTACTAGACATAGCTTAACTGTGATACAAAACACAGTCGTAATTGATCTAGTGAAATAAGATTGCTTATCATTACACCATATCGAAGTGCTCAATAGATTCATAGACATGAAGACAATGAGATAGATAGATAGATAGATAGATAGAGAGTGAGAGTGAGAGAGAGAGAGAGAGATAGGTGCGTGTATATCTACATGTGTACACGTATGCATACACGGAAATTTATACCTTGACGACAAGCAGTCTGAGGATCGAGTAGTGCTTCATTAGTCGTCACGTGATCATAATACGTCTTCATTACGAGTCACGTGACCCACCTTTCCTAATTACAATTCAGGTGCGCGTCGTTTCACACGCCACCAGGGGGTGTTACAGTCGCCGGCAGGGATAATTAAGAGGATGTTTGCCACGACACGAATATCGCGGAGAGCAACGCGTGTAACCCGCGAAAGCTGATCGGCGACTCTTTTTTTTATCACATAAACTTTCAATGACACGCAAATGGAATAAGCTGTTCATCATGAGTTCTTTCTTGATTTGATTGTATCATTTACAGCTCACTGTACTTTGATGGAGTTGATATGTCGTAAAAAAATTTATAAGTACTAAAACCTGAAAATTTTCTCAACGTATGATTGATAAATAACGTTATCTGTCTGGCTCTCTCAGTATCTCTATCTCTTTGTTTCTCCCTCACTAATGGCATCATTTATTTGGAATGGGCTCTACTCTTGGCCCTATATTTGCGAGATACAAAACAAAAAATCTTTATAAACTTCGGAATACCTACAGTATACTTTAAATATATTGATAATGATTTTATCATAGCATGGCAAAATAAAAATCGTAAAAGGTACGAAGAAAATAAATCGGTCATTTATTAACGAAGTTAATATGAAATTCAGAATCCTTTTGATAGGCGTCTTAGAATCCTTTTGTCTAGACGTCTCTAACACACACGCACCCCCACACACTCCCCCCCATATATACTGGGTTCTATAGCCTTGGATGGCAACTGGTCTAAGAGAAGGACAACTCTGAATTCAAAACCTGTGGAGGGTCGTTTGGGAAACTCGTGGCATTCGGTGCACCAGGTCTCTGTATTTATCCCTTCAAAAACTGTGGATGGTCCTGCACGAGGCCTTCACCACTATAATCAAATCTTATGTGCCGGTGTCGGGCTGTCGGTTTCCTGAAATGATCTGCTTGACCCTCATACGTCGAATCTCGACAGGAGAGTCGGTTATTATTATTATTATATATATATATATATATATATATATATATATATATATATATATATATATATAATGATATTATTTGGTAATCCGTGTGGATAATTCCAAAGAGGATATAAATCCAGGAAGAGAGCTCAGTGTAATAACAGACCAAATAATAATTATTATGAAAGCGGAGACTTTAAAAGTTCATGGCAATATTTTATTTCATTAAAACTGATACTTCGGTTTTAGCTCATCAGACGAAACATTTACATACAAAAAAAGATTCAAAATGGTAAATACTTTATGAGGGTTTAAAATTTTAAATACTTTTTGTGTAAATGTTTGAGGTCCCCGACAAAATCTAAAGAAGGATCTGCAATGGCAATGTAATCGGTCCTGACTTAGCGTCTCGACTCCAGACACTTTCTCACAGACTTGATGTGGCTCCCTATGTCTTTTCCACAAATATTTTCATGGCAACTGCTCTGCCTGAGCTATTTTCCCTGGTGGCCCGACTACAGGAATTTAAGCGTGCTACTAGATTCGCATCTAGGTCCCACCCTTTTAATGCTGAAACAGTAGAAGTGGCGGTTACATTTAAATGTAACCACCAGTTCTACTCCAACAATTTATTTTGTCGCACTTCCCGATAGTGGAGACCCCTTCCTCTTACTTGCTTCTCTGATGTCTACAATCATCAAAAATTTAAATGCAACGTCAATCGTCATCTTCTGATGCCTTGATCCTTATCTTTAGTTTGTATCGTTTTCGCAATCCTCCCTGTATCGAGTTTACTCTGTTACCCCCTTACGTACTAGTGACACTCCAACCTTGATTTGGGTGAAATACGAAATATCTATCTATCTATCTATCTATCTATCTATCTATATATATATATATATATATATATATATATATATATATATATATATATATATATAGATATAGATATATATAAATGGAAGAGATTATAGTTGTTCCAACGAGAAAAATGTATATATTAAAAAGAGGACAGAAAGCGTGAACGTTTTAAAAAAATATTATGCCTTTTATTTTCCATTATCGAAAAAAATGCATATTTTTTAAAATCCACATGACAACTAAAAATCATTTACGGTTTCTCCTTTCTTTTATATATATATATATATATATATATATATATATATATATATATATATATATATAATTTAAATAAAACAGAACTAATTTAAGGTTCCATGTAATAATTATTTCACCACAGCCTTTTAAAAGGACTGCGGATCATCAGACTTTACTTCCAAACAAAAATGAAAAGAAAATTTACACATTTTGACGGGCCAATAAATATGTAAATTAACGAAGTGGAGGAAGTGGGTGGGGAGAGAGAAGACATGGGTGAGTTAGCAGATATTGACACATTTAAACCGTTAACTTAACGGAAGTTATATATTGATATCGAAGGTTTACCCATACGGATTACCTAGTTTTTATTTCTTAAACCTTATTTTTAGTAGATACTCATATCTGAATAGACGTTCATTTTATAGTTGTTTTAAACAGTACATTATTCCGTTTCCCGGTCTGAACATTCGAGAAATCTTATAAAAGAAAATGCGCGCTCTCTGGAATGATTCAAACCAGCATCCCCATTTGAAGGAAACGTCAGGGACACCAGACCCTATATGGCAACAGCATTCAATATACTGACGAATGTAGATGTGTAGAATGGACTAACAAGAAAAAAAAGACCTTCAGGCACAACAAGGAGAACTAACTTTCTTTGTGGTAGATGCAGCTATTGACTCAACGTCGTTGTTCCATTTGCAGTCAGTAGAAAACATGAGGCCAAAAAAGTGCAGTGAGATGCTCTCGCGAAGTCGAGCATCAAGCACACTAATATTGGACAGGGAAGTTTCTCTGTGGTGGTTAAATGAGATTAGTTTGGTTTTGGAGGCATTAAAATTTTCGAGCCATTTCATTGACCACTGATTAAACGTCCTTGTCGAGACCAACGGCCAGATTAGCTTTGTCAGTATTGCCGGATTTACTAATGAGCCAGATGTAAATGCTAGTGTCTTCTGCACAGATGCCTACTTGAGAGCTGAGGACACCAGGAAGATCGTTGACGAAGATCAGAAACAGTGTCTTATTGTTTTCACTTTGAATTTGAGTAGCATTTTTTAAATCAAAATTGTGTTCAGTCCCGTTACAGTAAGCAACTAATGCTTCATTGTGTTGTTTTATAAAAGATCCCTTTTGTGTTCCTATAATCTCTATCTATAAAAGGCAGCATGTGTGTGTATGTGTGTAACGAATGCACGGCCGCAATTTTCGATGGATTTGCACCAATATTTACATGCACATGCTCCAAGTTAGCGGGAAGGCCAAGACCAACTTTGCATTTCCCAACTCTCATCGATAGTGGAAATAATCGATTTTTTCATGCTTCTACGGCAATTTTCATGTTGTTTGTGGCCATTTTCTACTGGCTAGAGCGAGAGTCTATAGCTGGCTGCCACGAATTGGCAAGAAGATTCTATTGGCCAGCGTGAGAGCCAACAGCTGACTGACACGAATGTTAGCTAGCATGCTAACATGCAAAAAAATCGATAGCTGCATTCGTCACAAGTGGGAAAAATTTAAATCTGCATAGCACTTTACTCCAATTGGCTCATTCGCTTGCTTAAACTCAACGTTGATTCTGATTCCGAAGAACTGGGTTGGGTGTGAAAAAGTTATTTGTTGTTAACATTCTTTTTCATTCGGTTTTCCAGTTACGAGTGCTTTTTTTTTAAAGCTAATCGTTTTGTGTTCATTTTGTTTAGTTCTTTTTTTCGTAATAGATTTAATGTTTAGAATAGAGCTTAGAAAAATTTCGCAGTGTGAGATAGTCAAGAAGTAAGGCATGTAGCAACATTAGCCCGGCAAAGGGCACTCCTTTAAAGGCAAGGAAGGGCAAAAATATTTTAAGTCAAGTGATAGCGATTGCTGTATTAGTCGTACGATTTTTGAATCAAGCACGGGCAACGCCGTGCCATGCTGCTAGTATATATATATGTGTATGTGTGTGTATTTAGGCAATATATTTTCATTCAAACAGGTTTGGTTAAATAATTTAAACATCTGTCGATTTATTTTTGTTGTGAGCCTTTCAAGTTCACGGATTAATTTCTTGGTAGTCTTTGAAAACTGATTAAGATAAATACTAAAAATTAAAATTCCTTTTCAATAGTTTGGATTCAACCAGGTACTTTTTCAATCTCAGCTGAGACCATCTTTGGGCTGTGGAGGTTAAAATTGTCTGTGAATGCGTATATATATTTCTATAAATTCAAAACATTTCAACTGTTTATTTTACTCCGTTATGCAGCTGTCTCGATATTAAAATACAAAGTTCAAGTGTTTATTTTCCCCAGAGTATAAGGGAGGTAACTCTTCATTTTTTTTTATTTATTTTTTTATATATATATATATATATATATATATATATATATATATATATATTTTAATTTTCGGATTACATCTATATTTTCGTTGTCCTCATTACCGAGAAGTAAAAAACAAGACCAAATCTATTTTCATACCTGAGGATGTCTGTAGGAAGAGACGAAAGCTTGTAAAAACTAAAAAAAGACTTTATGCAACTGGAATTTATAAACAGGGATCATATCATTCATATACAGGTTTGGGGTTGGTGTACCTTATTGAAATTTTTTGCGAAGATGTATTCTCGCCCTTTAAATCATTAACCTCTATATTTGTTTTTTGTATGAATGATTCATGTAATTATATATATATATATATATAGATATGATAACGATATATAATCTTTTTATATATCCAGAACAATTTTAGGCGAAAGAAATATGACAGAATGAAAAAGTTTTTCGTGTGACGCGGTTTATCATTGTGGACTTCATCGGACTAAGTTTGTTCATGTTTACAGATGCGCACGATTCAAACAGAGACGCTGAGAATTTTAAATTAAAGACATATTCTTCTTTATATAC